TAGTACACACCGGTGAAATAGGAACAAACATTGTTGTGGACACTGATGAAGAAGCAATGTGTGATGGGGACTTAGTGATTGTAAAATAGTTTTTCGACCAGGGTGTGGGCCTACTGAGCATTCAGTGGGGACTTTGGCATTGTTGCATTGCAGGGTTATTCACAAAAGGGTGAAGAGTTTGGAGAAGACAGGAGAAGTGAACAATCTAGGACAACGTAGCTGATTTGGAACAATTCTCCAATTCAGCTCACTTTCCAGCTCAGCTATGCTGTCCCAGATTGTTCACTTCTCCTGCTTTCTCCAAACTCTTCACCCTTTTGTGAATAACCCTGTTAGAAAGGGGTCAGACATTGACTCCGGGCTGTAGAATTCTCCAGCTGTGAAAGGAAATGTTTACAGTCCCTCTTTATACCTTACATGCCAAATCATTGAAACTCAGCTGGCCTGTGTTTAGCTGCTCATGGAAGTGGCAGTTTCTAGCTAGGAGTGTGCAGGAAGGAAGGGTTAGGATGATATATTGGCTGATCATTTGGCTGTCTTAGACTGCACACCAAAACTGTTTAGAAACGCATTCAATTCTTTTCATGTTTAAGACTTCTCTAACATTGGTTTGCTTCTACCATTATGCTCCCATTCATCACCGCATAAAAATCACAAGTTAAAAAATGAGTCCCTTGCCAGACACATCCCATTTAATACTTCAATCAGTCATGTTGGATAAATCAATAGATTCTAATGGAAACATACAAGTCTTATAACTGGATATGAAGTAATATATTAAAGAATAACTACACTCAAAAGAAAAAGAGTCATCTTCATACAACTGCCAACTTTAGATCAGGAGAATTGTCACTTTTTATAGTCTGTGACCGGCAAAATGTTTAGTCCCAGGGAACACTTGTTTTCTGCTATAACCTGTCACAGACCCTAAACTGAGCACATGAATTACAGTCTAGTCACATTAGAAAATCTTTAGAATGCTGCAGAGTACCTCATAAATGTATATGTTTATGGCAATGAAAGTGGGAAAGAAGAGACTGCTGGTGTTGGCCCATTTGGGGGAATCATAGTAATCAAAACCGTTTCTTAAACTTTCTGTGGCAGCCAACCTGTTTAAAGCTTAGCCACCTCTGATGGCAGCTAGAGACTGGAGATATGTTTCCACCTAATCTAATGTCTATGGGTATCTCTAGTTGGGCAGATACTGTTCCATAGGATGGACGAAGAGGCTGTCTCTTTTGATTGACTGCAAAAAAATGCCTACTGTTTTTATTTTTATTTTATTGGGGGGGGTTATTTTGATTAAATTATATTTAAGAAACTTTACAATTGCCAACATTTGCCCTAGCTCAGTTTTCTGACTGTTCTCACTGTTAGTTTATTGCTCTCCTGAGCTGCTGTAACCAATGGCTGAATATAGTAATACATTTCTCTGTGGTATCTGCAATTTGTTTCAGCAGCAGCTGTAAATGGAATATCTCACCTTTTCTGTACCAGGTGATAGAAAGGTGAAAATTCTATGTTAAAAACACTATCTTCTGTGCGTCTCTGAATATATACTGCAGGAGCAAAGAAATTGAAAAGCAACGAATGGTTATGTGCTTGTCTTTATTTCTAAAGAGGAACAGTCGACTTCCAGGTGAATTTGGCTCTAAGCAAAAAGTGGAGCTAGAGAAAGTGTGTGTATTTGTATTCAGAAGGGTCTGTTGAAGGTTAAGTTTACAGTACCGATTGTGTTCTTGCACATCTTTTTGGTTCTCAGTACAGTACCAATTATGTTCTTGGACATCATTTTGGTTCTCGGTACAGTAACGATTGTGTTCTTGGACATCTTTTTTTTTTTCCAAAATATTTTTATTTGTGTCACAGAAATATAATGTCACAACAATTTTCACAAGATATAATAAACTACACATTTTCTAAATTTTCCGAACCATGTACTAAGTGATGTTTAGGATACACATTCAGTTTATCATAGAGATCATCTTCCTGAATATTTTTGTGCCATTTTAGTACAGAATATTTCGCTATTGGTGGGAGAAAAGCGGGGTTGAGGCATCTTGGACATCTTTTTGATTGTCAGTACAGTACTGATTGTGCTCTTGGACATCTTTTTGGTTCGCAGTACAGTACCGATTGTGTTCTTGGACATCTTTTTGGTTGTCAGTACAGTACCGATTGTGTTCTTGGACATCTTTTGGTTGTCAGTACAGTACTGATTGTGTTCTTGGACATCTTTTTGGTTCGCCGCACAGTACCGATTGTGTCCTTGGACATCTTTTTGGTTGTCAGTACAGTACTGATTGTATCAGTTTGGTTCTAATTAAGTTTCTGTGGATGTTTTTGGCTGTCAGTATGGTACTGATGGCTTCTGTGAATGTGTGTACGTTAATTATGTGTTTTTTTTCTGCGGACATTGCTGTATGTGGTTTGGTTAATTAGGTTATAATTATGCAGGTGCTGGTAAATTAGATTTTGTTCTGTACACTGTAGCGCATAAATGGGGTCCAGCATAAGAAGGAGACGATCGCTTCTCTTTTGCTATTGTCTACTACCTCTCACTCTGCCACAATCTCAGGCTCATTAGCTTTGAAAGGTTCCCCAGTATGTGTGCAATATGCTACGTTGGTTTTAGTGCTATTGTGTCCCAGTGGTTTAGACACACATTTTGCTCTGTGTACGATTTCTCTGAGTGTGGACCAACAGTAAGAATTACAAGTTGCAAATCTTGTCAGTAATAGTACAGTAATACAGCACTGCGGTTGTGTGTCTGGAATATAATACAAGTGACATAGGTGATTATTAGCAGACATGGTGATCATGTGACCTGTGCTCCGGGGGATGTTCCTCCGTTAGTATTTCTGTGCAGTGTAGCTTTGCAGATTCATAGGTTTTGTAGGGATGATTAGCATTATGTTACTTCATACTCTGTCCACATCTAGTATAGTATGCTGGGTATGTAAAGGGTAGACAATGATAGGTTAATACTTAATTTACATGCTTGTGTTTACAGCAGTTGGTAAGCATGTTTACATGTTTTTTTCTATATTTTTGTGCATCTTTCCTGCTTTGATTTTACATTTTTGAATTTTTTATGGCTGCTTGACCTATCCCATTCTGTAAAGACAAGCGAGTCAGTCTCATCCAAGTTCTTGATAGATAATCATTATTCCTATAATGTGTGAAGGAACGATATGGATCCCTTTTAGTGATTTAAAACATCTCTGATTCCTCTATTTTCCTACCCCTAAAATGTTCTACAGCACAAAGTATGTATGTAAGCTACATAGCATTAGTATTTCCTAACTTTGTAACAGTGCTGTTTGTGCCCTCGACGCTTTTATTACTACAACTGCAGAAGTAGTTCCGGCATGTGAACAAACTCACGGCCATAATTTTCATCAGTGAGAGATCAGCGAATTTCTGTTCACTAATGTTCCTGTTCTAGTGTCATCCCTGAAGTGCTGAGCTGTGTGCACTTCCAGGTTCGCAGCTTCTAAAACCCGGCAACTCTGGCTTGGAAAACATCAGATCCAGAACAGTTTTCACCTAGTCTGCTTAGAGAGAGTGCACAAATAACTTTAGCAGTCTAATAGACCCCTCATGTCTCCTTAAAGAGAACCTGTTAACTGCACTATGCTTATCCGTGATATCAATAAAGTTAGGTAACAACAAAAGTGTTAAAAAAAACCCCAAAGTTTAATAAAACAAAAAATCACTTCCCCAAAAATGTAAAACAATTTAAAGCCACCCATGTACATACAAATGCAAAAATGACAATTGTGCAATACATTAGGTATCACCAGTGAGGGACATCATTCTGGAGCCATCATTTAGTCATCTCCTTATTCATGAGCTGTGAAGGCTTTTATCTATTACATCCAAGCATCATCTATGGACAATTTGTAGGTATTGTATCGTTCTGCCATTTCGCAGGGCTATCATTTTACTCATCACTTGTATGTAAAGCTGAAACGTTTTTTATTATTTTAGTTTTGAAAAGATTAAGGTGTGGGTATGGTGACTGGACTTTATTTAGGCTGTGACTTTTTTTGGGGTGTGAGAGGTATGTGGTGTATAGTAAAAGTTTGTGCTGAAATGTTGTTTGTAGAACTCCACGACAAAAACAATTAAGCCTAATTTTAGAAGTCAAATACTAATGTACTGCTAAAAGCCGCTTACTTGTGTGTTTAACTTGTCAGCCTGCTTATATATGGATGTTGTAAAGTCTTCCCAACTTTTGTTTGTTATTAAATATTTACAAAGAGGCTTTATAATTTGTATGATGTATAGAGAATTTAGGTATTTGTTTTGACATACAGAAGAACATGGTTATTTCCCCCGTGCCCTGGTCTTCACAAAAAGCTCATTCAATTCCTGTTGGATGCTTGCATGTTCTTGCCATCTACTAAACTGCCTGACTACTTAGAGTTATACTTGGTTACTTGTGTATATCAGTCTATCTATGGGAGCCTTAGTGGGTTATTCAGTATTCTTAATGGCATTACGGCAGGCGTTTTTGTGGGAATAAATTAGTTATTTATAAATCGAAATCTTACAGGATAAACATAACATATGCAAGATAGGTAAATGAGGACGTATAGGTATAAAATGTAAGGGATACATCTAGATCCAGTTGTCGCAGTCAATTAACTAGCAAAAGACCGGGCTGTAACAGTGTAACATAGTAGGCAGAATAAGAGTATTTTGAATGAGTAGATCGTATAGGTCCTAAGATATACGCAAAAGTGCAAGAGAGTAAAGAAAAGAAAAAAAAAAGGTAAAAACAAAAAGGGATAACTCAATACAATGTTGGGCCGTCCGAAATATGATATGTAATACTTTTGATAATCAGTGGTAGGTATGCAGGCGTTTTTTTAACATGTAAATTAGCTTGAAACTTTTGTTTTTTTTGGAACAACTTGTAAAATCACTTGAAAACATTGTTGAAGTATTTACACCAATGTTAAATGCTAAATATATAAATCTTTTGTTTGTAGGCAGTTCAGGGGCGCATCATCAGCCAACATGAACGAGACTTGCGCGTTGATTTGGGATTCCGCGGGATGCCGATGACTGAAGAGCAAAGGCGGCAGTTCAGCCCGGGCCCGCGAACCACTATGTTCCGAATTCCAGAGTTCAAGTGGTCCCCAATGCACCAGCGACTCCTTACTGACTTATTGTTTGCTTTAGAGACAGATGTGCATGTTTGGAGGAGGTAAAATTTGCTGATTTAATGTCACTCACTTCTTAAAGATGGAAGGAGATGAGTCAATGTTTAAATGCTGCATTTGTTTATGATGTAAAATTGCATTTGAGTCTTTTTCAGGGTAAGCAATTCACAAAGGTAATCCTGTCTTTAGTCCTCAGATTTTGTAAAGATATTTGAGCACAATGTGCTTTAATACCGATTTCATTTTGCAGCAGCTGAACTACTACTGAACACTCTTGTTCTCATGAGGATTCATGTTATCATAACGTTAACAGAGAACATGTTAAATGGATGACACACTTTCAGTTTATGGAAAGCACCACATAGCCATATTGTGATGCGTCTGTACCAAAGCTCTATGAAAAAAAGCTAATTTGAATATTTAGGTTATAGTCAATCCCCTAAACACTAGCAGCAGCTTGCCAAGACAGCGTTTGCGTCTTATATAGAGTATTTTACCTCAACAAAGTATAAATAATTTATGATCACTTACTCGGTGGTCTGTGGAACAGGTGACGTGGAAGGCAAGTCTTAAAATACATTTTCCCTATTATTAAATATTCAGTATTCTGATTTGGTTTCTAGCTGACATCATATGGCTAACAGTATAGTTCACCTTGTATGAAATACATGTATGGTACAAACAGTTGGAGAACAAAATATCCAAGGGGGAATTTATCAAAACTGGAGCAGAAAGAATCTGGAGCAGTTGCCCATAGTAACCAACCATCTTCATCTTCATTTTGTTCAGTTAAGATTTGAAAATGAAAGAGAGAAGCTGATTTGTTGCCATGGGCAGCTGCTCCAGATTTTGTCTGCTCTAGTTTTGGTAAATTCCCCTCCCAGTGTTTTGTGCCTCGTTCACACCAACCATTGTGTGTTCCGACCCGATTCTGGCTGGAATGCACTGCATGGCATTGAGGCTGGCTCACTATGTTGTGAGGCCACGCCCTCCAGCCACAATGCGATCAGCCGCATGGGAACGCAAAGGCACATCAATTCCTGCGGTCCAGTCTGAACAGATTAGTGCTTGCATGCGTTCCCATGAGGCTCTTACACAAATACTTTGGTATGGTCCCAAGGGAAGCAACGGTGTTAAATAATCAAATGCCAGTGATAGATACTGAGACAGAGAAGACAGTAAGATTAGTATTTAGAAGAGGAGTATTTATTTGTTTCGGCTACAGTACTTATTTGTTTTTTTGTTTTTTTTCCTCTCTGCTCTTTAGCCATTCCACGAAATCTGTCATGGACTTTGTCAATAGCAATGAAAATATCATCTTTGTCCATAACACTATCCACCTGATATCCCAAATGGTCGACAACATCATCATTGCCTGTGGAGGAATATTGCCTTTGTTGTCGGCTGCCACCTCACCAACTGTAAGTACAATGTTGCCATCTAGTGGCCTTTTGTGGGAATGACATTTATATTTCTCATTATCAGTGACTTAGTTTATATTGTGGATTATGCAACTGAGACAGTCATATCCACCCTGAATTCTTTTAGGGCAGATTTATTTTATTTTTTTTTGCTAAATATTTATTTTGCGTGAATTGCTTTTCTTTAAGTTTAAAAAATAAATAAATTAACAAACAGTTATTATATTTATATATATATATATTTTAGTTGTCTCCGAGTACTTTTTAACGGTAGCATTAGATATTGATTCTGTTTTAAACTTGTTTTTATTTTTTGATTTTAATGCTTTTTTTTCTTGTACTGTTGTGGTCTGTTGTCTGTGTGTCTGTTATTTGTCCAGGGTTCTAAGGTTAGTATATCTGATGTAAGTTTTCGTTTTATTATTATCTTTTTTCCCCTCCTTCCCTTTCCCCACACACTTCATTGTATGCTGTGTCTCACTCTGTGTTTTAACTTAAACCATGCATGCACGTGAAAACAGAATTATTCCAAAGTATACACAAACTTGAAGCAGCTGAGCTGCCCTGGTGGCTTCATGGTTGGAGACTGGAGAAAGTGTTTAGCTTGCTCAGAGAAACCAAAATTGATCCCTTCTGTCATTTTATATAGTAGGTTAGGAAATGAAAGAAAGGATCCTACTGGTTGCTTTTTATTGAACAGCACATTTCACTTCCTCTGGTTTTCATACATGAGTCCATGGTGTTGCTTTGGTTGATCAGCAGATGTCATCTGTAGATCGATCATAATCCTAATGATATCTGGTATGGTGCAGTACTAGGTAACATGACAATACCTTGTGCCAGTCATGCTTTGCTTTGTGTTCTTCTCATTTCCCAGTGGCGCACATAGACTGCAGAGGTTTCCTGTGAAAAGGCACAATTTGGGCTCCCTGTTTTGATGTTTTTAGTTGTCGCTGTACATTTGAAAGTGTCCTCTCACTATAGTGCTTCCTGTGCAGAATCTCGCCCCTTCAGTATCTGACAAGATACCTACAGTATAGTAAATACTGTAAATATAGTAAATAAAGCACAGCCAGACATTTGTTTCTTGTTAAAACTCACTTCTCCATTTACTGTAGGCATGCTCACTCTGGCATCACCAGCACCTCTGAAAACACTTGCTGTGGGGTATCAGCATCTTTTTAGCCAGTCACAGCCCTTAAAGCCCAGTTGAATCAGTTTAAAGCTGCTTAATACATTCCAGGTGCATAAAAAATAAAAGGTGTCCAAGGTCTAACAGTTCAGTCAGCAAAGCTCATGCTCCCTACTTATTGAGGAGGTGTGACTCAGCATGTTTGACCTCTGCAGAGAGACCACTGCTTCCACATAGAGAAGAAGGGTTTCCTATGTGGCTGCTGGCAGTGGACAGACTTTTCTACTCAGGCTGTGGGTGTTTTCTAAAACAAAATGAACAGTAAAGCTGGCCATACACCTTACAACCATTGCACGACTTTCGTTGTGTGATGCTTGTAAGGTAATTAAAACCTCGTACGATCTGCCCATCTTGGACAGGCAGATCATACTTGCGATCATCGCAAGCCCTCCCCGCTGAGGGGAGGGCTTCCGATGATTCCAATGCTGAGCGGGCAGTGTGCGCTTGCGCGCCCGTTCGGCATTTGTCTTCCGAGCGTGCCACTAACCCGCGATCATACGATAATCGGCAGGTGTATCAGCATTGGAATGGTCGGAAGCCCTCCCATCAGCGGGAGGCGGGCTTGCGATGATCGCAAGTACGATCTGCCTGTCCAAGATATGCAGATCGTACAAGGTTTTAATTACCTTACAACCATCACACAATGAAAGCCGTGCGATGGTTGTAAGGTGTATGGCCATCATTAGACTTTGCACATCTTTTGTTTTGATGCACCTGGAAAATATGTAGCAGATTTAAGCTCTAGGTTAATTTGGGCTTTAAAGCTTATCCAAACCTAAAAACAGAAATTTCCTATTAATCATTTTATCAGTCCATAGATGTGGTGGCTGCTTTAGATTTTTCTTTTTCAGGTTTTTTGTTTTTACCTAGTACTCCAGCCAATAACACACTTCCTTTCTTAGGGCTCATTCACATGAGTGTGCACACCCATGCAAAGACCTGTTCCTGAGAGGGACAGGTGCTGTGTGTAATTGCAGCAGCCTGTACCTCCTCATAAGAGGACGCAGCTGCACCGCAGGCATTTTTCTGTATTTGCAGGAAATATACTTAGTCTGGACACAGAAAACTAATACAACCACCATGTCTAAGGACTTGTAAGCTGCAAAATATTATTTTTTGGGGGTTTAGATCCTAACTAAATTCCATTAGGTTTGCTAATGCGCTGAACCTGAAACAGCCGTCTTTTCACTTTTTTTCTTTTGTTGCATATCAGCACTACTGATCTCCTGTTACCTCATTACAAACCTTCCTCTCTACCTTTATGTGCTCCAGGTGGTGGCTGCACATGATTGTTGGGGGCAGAAGTTTGCTAATGGTGACAACAGTTGACCACGCCTGTGCAATGTGTGTCGGCATGGGTGCTTGTGGTCTCCATTGGGAGAGCATGTGGCAGGTTGATAATGCAGAAGCAGAATTTTCGAGTCAGGGATAGAGCATTGTCACACTGTGTCATTCTGCCCAGCCTGTGGGTTACATGCTCCCTAGGGGGCTAGACTCACAGTACTCCCGGACTGAGTGGCCCTCATGCCTCATTACTGGAGTACCACTCAGCTATGAAGAGTGAAGTAATAATTTTCCAAGCTTCCTCCCTGATGACTTGTGGGTTAATGATCAAGAAGCAGTAATTTTCTCCCTGCAGAGACCGTTGAATGTCAGTTACAGCTCCCCGCAGGGATTCCCTCCCTCCCATTTCTGTTCCTCCAGCACTCATTGGAGGGACAGACAGGAGAGGGGGTGGGCACAGCTGGCTCTAGAGAGACAGAGCCAGATGTCAATCAGGCAGCAGAGTGGATCCTGGCAATATTGGGATCCCGACTATATCGGAGGTAGGTTTGGCTTTAGTTCTCTTTTAAAATATATGTCAAAGCAAAATAAACAAAAACATATGCATTACATCTCTCCAATACATGCATGCTTGCTCTTGTGTTATCCATTTAAAGACCATGCAAGTACAGACAAATACTTGTTGATCTTCCAGAAATACACTCAGCTTCTACTTTCCCATTGTGGACTGACCACACACAGCATTTTTGTGGACTAAATAGTGTCGGCCCGGCCCAGTTTCATTTGCTAAATCAGTCAACCACTTTCATGGTCTTCTTAAAAGCATAGACACTCGTTTACTTGTGGGCCTAAGACAGGAACTGGGAGGGCTAAATTGACTCTTTGAGCTAATACAGTAGAGGATGTAGGACAGCTCGAAATTTCTGAAAAGATCAACAGTTTATTTTTTTATCGCACTTATAAAACAGACATAACAAACAGCTTCCAACAGTATATTTAACAGACCAAAAGGGACCGAAGAGGAGAAGGTCATTGTCAAAGGTTTACATACACTTTAACTTTTTTGTAGATGTTCCACATAAAATATCAAATTTCTACTTTTTTTAGTTCAGGTCTATTACTTGTTTCCATGATGATGAGAAAATTTCAATATTTATTCTTAGTAGATAAAGATAGTGTGAGCTCTTTGTTTTATTCTTAGATTTGACACTGATCACGTATTTACTTTTTATATGCTCTAAATGACCTTTCAGATTAGGGTTGCTGAAGTTTCCTGGCAGCCTCAGTAAACTGTATTGTGAAACTCTTTTGAAAGTCCAGCCAACACATTCATTCAGTATTATCTCATTGAAGGGTTAAACTTCAGTGAAGGTTTTCTATTGTCTTCTAGCTCACATATTAAAAGCCGTTAGCTAGTCAGCAGATCTAAAGAGAGAGCTGGCCTGCTTTTCCTCATTCTCATCATGAATGGCGAGAACTTTGGCACCTATAGGATAAAAAAATGAGTGTCTATAAATATTATCACATTGACCTGTGTGAAGAATTGTAGTGTAATATCATTCCATAACCAGGTGGACAGAGCTCTGTACTATGACAGACAATATATTTTGCAGGGAGTTTTCCCTTATGGGCATACATGTAGAATGTCAGAAACTGGAGATCTGTGTTAGTGAGGCACAAAATTCCACAAGCAGCGTGTGCTGCGCCCCAGCCAACATAACATCACTCTCTATAGAGAATTGGCGTTTCAAAGCCAATCATCTTTACAGTTAAGTAAGTGTACATTATCAACTCTGCAGCAGGACAGTAGACTTTAAATTAGATTTGCAGATGCTAAACAAATTATACTTTGGAAAACATCTCAAAGAGAAGTTGATTTTGGCAACGATTGCATTGCTTGTTAGACCTTATAGTGAATTGATCAACTTTGCATGCAGACATTTTGTGGGCCCGGCCTAATTTTCACAAGACTTCGCTTTGTGTGATGCCATTTTTTAAAGTTTGACTACCTTAAACCCACAGCAATGTAGCAAAGAACTGTAGGGTGCAAAAAATAAATAAGGGTTCCATCATATCTCATACAATAGTGTTTCATAAATCTGTTCATACATCGGATAATCATTTCCTGTTTCGCATTAGAACACAAACCTGTTTTAGACCCAAACAGCAGGAAAAAGGAGGGAAAATGCATGTGAAGAAAAAAAATTGTTTCGTTTTGAATCGAATGCAGTGCCTGCATGTAGAGAGTGTATTAGCAGAGAAGCGGCCATACCAGAGAATCACAGATGGAACTCAAGAATAGAATTCAAGAATAAGCCTTGAGTGTAATTTCTTACATATACGCCCAAAAGTATGTGGACACCCCTTCAAGTTATTGTGTTTAGGTGTTTCCAGTGACAGCTACTTAATACTACAGTATCCAAAGACATTTTAGACGGGTGCTTCCAACCTTTTAGGGAAGACCCTTTTCTGTTCCAGCATGACTGTGCACAAAGCCAGCTCCATAGAGACACATTTTTGACAAATTGGTGTGGAGGAGCCCAAGTGGTGTGTACAGAGCTGTGACCTCAACCCTATTGAGGGTATTGGAAAACCAATTGTTACCCAGGTCTTCTCATCCAACATCAGTACTTCACCTCATAAATGCTCTTTTGGCCAAATTGGTGCAAATTCTCACAAATACATTCCATGGAGAGCTTTTTCAGAGGAATGGATGCAGTTAGAGACAATGGGGTGGGGGGCATGCAACTCCATATTCATGCCAATGGTTTTGCAATGGGATGTTCAACAACCTCATATAGGTGTTAAATGTCAGGTGCCCACAAACTTTTGACCATACAGTGTATGTGAATTTTGTTGTGGAATTTGTGGTTTAGGAGAATAAATAATGAGCATTTTCAGATTTTTATCTTACTACAGTTAACTCCC